GCTTATTAAACATTTAAAGGTCCTTTTGGGTGGCATATCGGGTAATTTTGGTTACAAGTCTTTACAAATGTAAGATGTGACAAATCTTTGCCTAAGAGCAAATACAGAAAAATAATTGTCCACCCACTGACCCAAGTGAATTTAATCTGCCATTATAGACTTTTACTAGAATAAGTCTTACTCTGGTTGCATGCTTTGTACTGTAAGAAATTGACTGCCATAGAACTTTATTAGAAAGCAATTGTTTATCATTGTAAAAATATGAATTACATGCATTATCTGGGATCCTCAGCATATGAATACAATATGTTACCGGTACTAAAAATGTACCTTTTTTTTCTTTCTTCTTCTGCATTTAGTAATGAATAGAATGTTAGGTTGGCATTTTCTTTTCTAGTTCCCATCATTTCACAACATTAGCTTCCTTTGGAAAACATTTAGCGTCTGATAAATGAAAAAATGTCTTGTGGTAGGAGACAGTTTGTAGTAAAATGCATTAGGAGGGGCTAATGAACATCTATGCAGTAAGCTATCCTTTCTTTAAGAATGCTTGCGACAAACAGTCCTCACACTAGGTACAGGTAATAAAGTTTGAGTAAACTGTAATTTTCACAAAAAAATTTGTGTGTTTTGGTCTGTTGGGTGGTGGTGATGGTGGGGTTTTCCCCCTAATTTTATTTTGAGGCTTTTTTATACACATTTTTTTGTCTAATTTCACTTGCTTCGTATTGGGATTTCTGTTTAATTTTTGTGATTCTGTTTTGTTGAGTTACTCAGAAGATACCAACTGTCTTCAGTAATCTTTGCGACCAACCACCTGCTTTGGTCGCTTTTTTTCCTGATCTCGTTATTTAATTGCGACAGAGAAAATACTGGTTTTTTCATTCTAGCAGTGCTTGTGTGCATTTCATGTATCAGATGGCACCTTTCAGGCTGCCCAAGAGCTAGGTTAGACAGTGTACGTGTCCTGTGTGCACTGGCTGCTTCATTCACCTTACCATGTTGGCTTTCACCTGCCTTTACCCATTCCATGAAACAGAAACCTGGGGGTGGATGTGTTGAATAGAACGGTGTGGGAACCTCTTTACTTGCTTCTGCTGCAGTCAGAAGAGTTTATGCTATCACTTTCGGTGAAAATGAAATTATGGTTGAAGTCATAAAATTATGTACATGTAGATTACTGCTGGAATTACTATCATAGAACGTGTACGTACATAGCATCTTTAAGATTTTGCGTTTTAGGGACTTCATTTTGTATCTAAATTTTATTCCTAAAATGTCTTCTCTATTGACAGAGTTTCTTTTCTTAGTTCATCCTGCTTGCCCTTCCAAATCCCACACAGTCTTTAGTTTCAAGTGGAGGAATGGTACAGATGTTTCTGGTGAGGTGTGATTAACAAGGGGTAACTCAGGAGCCAAGAACTTCGTGTGGGAGTCCACATCTAGTAAGGATTAGGTGGCATTTGTCGCAGGTGTTGTGGATTACTCCATTGCCATCTCACCAAACCGACAATGGGGTATTACAGTCAGAAAGATGGTTTCTGTTCTAGCTTGCCTAGAAACGAAAGTGAGAAAGAAGATAGTATGCAGATTATAATAGTTTGTTTTGATTTGAAAAGAGAACTACTTCAGAATTTATTGTTGTCACTCAAGAAGCCCCACGGAAGCCCTGAGGGAGCTGAGTGCGCCGTGCCCGCCCGTACCGTCACGTTAGGGTGGCTGCGCGTGCCTTGGCCCCTCGCGTTGGCCGCGCCGCGCTCCCGCCCCGCTGCGGGGCCGCTCCCAGCAGCAGCGCGGGCTATTTTTAGCCTGTTGCCAGGCAGATTTGGTTCATGCAAAGCAGCTCTGCGGCAGCCAATCCCGAGCGGGTATGCAAATCTCTGGCAGTCCTCGGCATCGGGTAGAGCCGACAAGAGGACAAGATGGCTGCCGAAGTGCTGCCTTGGCCTGCCTCAGACACGGATAGAAAACTCATCATTTCATGTGGGAAACGGGGAATATCCTCCCTGCCCCGAACAGCTCCGAGTCCCCACGAGGCTTCAGTTTATGGAAGAGCTGGTTTCCTGGCGCCCTGGCAGCATACCCCTTCAATCCTGTGTGCGGGCCAGGCAGGGTGCGCTGCCCCTGCCACAAACGGTGTCTTTCCCGGGGGAAACCCTCCCAACACCCAGCTTACCAACTGCTGGTTCAGTTCCACTTTAAACTTGCTTTTTAAACGCAATCTTTGCAAAAACACTTCATAAAAGCTGCTTATATGTGTGGCTAACACTTAGTAATGTTTCAATGCAGGATTGCCTCCTTTGTTGCAAGTTTTCTTTTCACTTCTGCTTCTTGTGGCATTTGAGAAGTGACTCTTGGGATCACTGTCAGCATCAGGTAGCTCACCTCTGAATTCTGATGTCACTGAGCTGCCAGTTGGAAATCCAAGGTTACATCGCCACAGCTAGCTGCATATGTGATACAGGAACTAATCTAGACAATAGACTGTTCAGGGTAAATATGTCTGGTTTTTCATTACAATAGTGTTAATCTGCATTTTATCTAACAGAAGACAAGGGATGCAAATGTGCATATGTTAGTGATACCGTGTGAAAGTGTTAGCCTGTTGAAATACTGAAAATTATACATTTAAAATTTATAAAGAATTTCCTTATGAAAGGAAAGAAATGTATTTTATAATGCCTAGAAAAGCTTAAGCATGATCAGAACATCTTGCCTTTTTTTCTGAGATTGTTCTTTTTTCACAGAGTGTCATATTTTTTCATCTACATGTGCATAAACAATTAATTTAGGCTGTTCAGGTTTAAACTTTGGAATATCAGAAGTTGAGTAAGTTTTTTGTTGTAGGTGTGTTTTGGCAGTTGCTGACCATATCTATGGAATTATTAGGTCCTACTCATATTCAAGGATAATGGAAATTCAAGCTGTTTATCTTATGCCAGAGATGAAACTGTAATCTGAGACAGTGTATAATAATATTTATCAAATGTATCTTTAAATGCACAAATTCAACTTCACAGTCTGTAAATATTTTTTTAATTTAAAAAAACCCAACTTCTTTAGAGTTTTAGCTTGTGCTAAAAAAATCATTCTGTGAGAAAGCTGAATTTTGCTGTTACCACTGTTTAAAACAGCAGGATTTGTTTAGTGTTTGGAGATGTCACAGCTGAATTGAAAGCTGATGTTTTGAGTTGTTGATAAAAGTTGGAATCTTTAACACTTGTGGGAAGTAAGAAAACACGTTATCGCAGCCTTGTTGCTCTGGCTGAGTTCCAGTCATGTAGTTTTATTAGTTTAATAAACTAAGTAGCTGTTAAAATTCAGTATACAGAAAAAGATAAAGTTTTTCTTGGAGAATCAGCCTAAGCTCTGTGTGCTAAATAGTGGGTGTTTCTAAAGGACTTGAGTTGCTTGTAAAAGTTGCGTAGGAGAGACTCTCCACTTGTTTTCCATTCTTCCATGTTCCAAAGAATGCAGTTATCTAGGCATAAAGTGATGAACATTTAAGAGCAACTCTGCAAAACCAGCAGCAGATGAAATATCTTAGCCAGGTAAATAGACCTGTCCGTCATTTTTGTCCCATGAGGAATTCATTTTTCCCACAAGGCATCAAAGCATCATGGGGGGAAAAAAATCTCACAAGTTTGGTATCAGAAATAGATAAATGAGCCAGTGTCAGAGGGGGTATTATTCTCTGAGGTAGAGGAGACACAAGAGCAGTGCTTAACTTACTGTGATGTCAACGTGATGAGAGCATAGTTCAGGTTAGTACATGACGCTATCACATATACAATAAACAAGACCAACCTCTTTGAAATTGTACTGTGAGTTTACTCTGGTTTAAGAAGGCTTTAACCATGTAGGTGCCTGTTTTTCTTAGGCAGCAATACATATGTGGCCCTAATGTTTTGCTGAATTTCAGAAGGCAGTTTTCTGCAAATGTGGGGGAGATTGGCTTCTCCTTTCAAGGCAGAAGTCATACTGCAGTCATGAAAAAACACCAAATTTCTGTTGGAATACTAAAGAAGGCAGCGGTACTGCATAGGATGTGAAGAAAGGAACGTTTTCCAGATGCTATACTTAAACCCAGGTTGGATCTCAAGAGGTTTTTCTGATTCAGCATTCAACATGGCAGGAATTCAGTGATCGCCTGACAATGCTCCCGCGCATTAAACAGCTGTTCCTTATGGAGGCTGTGCACCTGCACTCGTGGGTCAGCGCTGTTGTGCAGCTGCAGGTCTCGGACGGAAAGCCCTTGGCTTTCTATAGCGCCCTTTGGAAAATCCCGCTCCTTTAAGGCGCGCCCCCGCGCTCGTGCCCGCGCCCGACGTCTGCCGCGTGGGGCTTGTTGCTGGGTGGAATTTCAGGCGCTCCCGTCTGATTGGCTGCCGCGCGGCCGCTCCGTTCGGCCAATGGGAGGCGGGCCTGCCCGTCCGACCTGTCGCTGCGCGGGCTGCGGCCGGCGGGGCCCCGCGGGCGCCCTCTGGGGAGCGGCCGCGCCACTGCAGGGCTCCGCCGCAGGGGAGCGTGCCTCGCGAGCCGCTCTGCGAGCCGCAGCGCTTGGGGATGTGGCGGGAGCAATTGAGCCGAAGGGGGTTTTAATTACAGCTCACCTTGTTCTGCTATGTGTGCGCACTAGGTGAAATAGGGCAGGATGGTGACGTAATTTTTTTTCCTAGAAAATGGTGTATTTTTCTCCCTTCTCTCAGCTAACACTAACATAAGTTCAGCCTAAAAGGGACAAAAACTGAAATTGTCTGTGGTGTGCTAGAAGAGCTATTATTTGCACATACAATAATCATGTGATTTCTATTTTGTTTATTACATTTAAAAACAAAGGCACAGTTGTATGTGGAGCTCAGTAAGCTGGTGGTGTGTATTCCATTCAGGCAGATCAGTAGACTTGTATTACTGATAGAAAACCAAATTATTGATGCATTATTTAATTACGTCTTTTATAAGAATAGGTCTCAAGATTTTTTTTCTTTCTTTGAAAATAGTTCATAAATTTCTGACAACTTATATCAAAATTACTATGGAGGATTTCAACTGACAACTACTTTTTATCAACCACTACTTAAAAGGTAGGTTTTATTCACCACTTTCATTCTCTGGAAGTCTCCATCTAGAACACAATACTCATGACCATTTGCTGCTTCACTTTCTTTGATTTGACTATGCTACGTTTTAAGTAGGCTTGCACATTTGAGTGCTGATGTTCATTATCAGTGAATTTTACTTCTTCACGTAGTTCTTGTGCTTTGACAAACGTTTTATGGTTGTGGCGCATTTGGCTGGTGCTGCATGCCCTCGAGGAGCCCTTTGCTGGTGCTGTTCTAGACCCATGATGTTATGCAAACCCCATTATGCACTATTGTTCAGATTGCAGCTTCTCCCTCTCCACCCCCCCTCATTTTTCCATGACCTTCCCTTTGTCTGCTGCCTGTCACTAGGCAGGATTCAGGCAGCTCCATGCTGATTGGCTTCTCTTTCTGAGCCGCTCATGGGCTGCTTACCTGAGCACATGATCATGGGCTGATACATACCAGCTAATACAATCCTTTCTTGCTTTAGAACTGTGGTCTCTTTACAGAGTAAGAATAATAAAAAATGAAGAAATAGAGGGAAAAAGGCTCAGAAAAGAGACCTTCCCACATTCGTAGCTGCACTAGCACGTTTTATGCCATTTAGCACACATTTCATGATGAGAAGAATTCCTAAATTTTGGAGGGAGTCGCCTAATGATGTGTTCATGTCTCACATGACTAATTACATATGACTTTAAAGCTTAAAATGAAAGAGGGAGGTTTTGTATCTAAACAAATGAACACAGTGTGTACGTTAGCCTGTCAAAATTGTTGACTTTCATAAAACAAAAAAAATCAGCCCAAAGCTACTGTCCTTATTTACAGCATTTACCCCTTACACAGGTAGCTGTACATGCTGGAGTCATTTTGTGCTGATGCATACAAAAGCCATTCTTTGAAATAAAAGGTGCTACTCTGTTGGCTTGGTGCCTGGGCCATTGGGTTCCTCCTTGTTTCTTGGTCACAGGATGAGTAAAAAAAGAAAACACCCAAGCATCAGATAAGGGAGGTGTTTAACAAACATAGCTAAACTTCATGTTGTTAACTATAAAGGGAGACTACCAAAATGCATTCATTTAGAATAGTAGTAGCTTGGTGAGTTTTGTTTGAAGGTAAAATGTCCGAATCCATGTAATTTGCTCTGTTGCTCCCTGAAGGGGTGCACCTTGCCCCTTTGAAAGACTGGAAACCAGTATGTATCAAATGGTGGCTGACTGGCTTACTCTGGTGTGACCAAGCCTGTTTGGACTGGCTACCAGTTGATTTGGTTCTTTTACACTCAGATCTCACATGAGTCTGTTCTTTGGCTGCACTGTGCTCCCTTGTGGGTATGGCTGGAAATGCTTAAAGACTGGTCTGCCCTTAGAAGATATTTTAAAACATCATTTTCAAAGATGAACCCAAAACACTGGTTCGTCTCATCTATGCTTTTAATTTTGTCACAGTAGTTTTTATGGAATATTTTGGTTGCTTTAACCAAATAGTCTTTGGTTTCAAAAGACTGTGGGATTGAGCAGGAAAATGTGCATGAGTTACTCCCATAACAATTTAACAATGGAATTTTGAGAAGCCTCTATTTCCTACAGGTTCTTTTTAGAACTGTGTTCATGCTTTGTTTTTAACTAGATTTTGGATAATATCCGAAAATAAAAAGTGAACAGAATTTTTAAATATATAAGCAATTCAAGTTCATCCATTTTTTTTTCAATAAAAAGTAAGGGTGCATCAATATAAAGGGATTCTGATGTTTGAATTTTTTTAAGACTGCTCTTCTTGGCAAATGTAAAAAGAAGTGTCCTTTATTTTCTTTGTATTTACTCTGTATTAAAAATGTTAATGAAAAACTGCTTAGATGACTTAAGGAAATTAGAACAGCAAATATTAATTTATTTTAAGTTATATGGTTATTCAAGTGATGCACTTACAGATTTGATTTTAAGACATCTGTAAATGTTACATTAATTTGTTAGTGTATTTTCTGGTCATAGGAAAAGTAGGACTGTGAATTTTGTAATATATTTTGCAAACTCTGGGTAATGCCTATAAAAGAAAACACTGCAGGCTGGGAGATCGAACTGTCCTATTGTAACTTTGATGCAGAGGCCCTGTTCTTGTACTGTGCTACCAGAGGGTCCTCATTAGTGGCTCATCTATTAGGAGTTCTTGGACTTGTTCAATGTTAGCCAAGCCTGATTTCTTTTTCCAAATTTCCTTTACAAGATAAAAATCTGTAACAGCATGTGTGTTGGTTGTAGGGGTTTATATGAATGAAGGGGTTGATATCATGTGAATATGTCTGCCTTCCATTCTGAGTTCTTGGGAAAACAGATGGGATGTGCTTTCTGTACTTTCAGGTCTAAAATTCTTGCATTAAATGTATTCTCTTCTGAAGGAATATGAAGAAATTTTAGTTAGGGTGTAGACAGCTCTGGAAAGGCATTAACAGCTCACCTGGAGTTCTTAAGTCATCTGACTGAAAATGGTCGTGATGAGAACCATTTTTCAACTCAAGTAAACTGGTGTTTCAGATCAGTGTTTCTGTAGGCATTGTGTTTTGCTCCCACTAGTGGCAATGCAGTAGTAGACAATCCAGTTCAGAAAATCTAGGTCAGAATGGCAGAAAATCATCATAATGGTATTATTGCAAGTTCATAAATAGACCTGATACAACTTTGTGTCAAAATTTGTTCATCTGTTCCTGAGGTGTGAGTCAAACTGTTAAGTGCTATCAGTAACACAAATCTGAGGATTCTAGATTGTTTTGCGGAAAAGACCTCAAAAGGGTAAGGGAAGCTCAGTGCTAAGTTAAAAGGAAATATTAAAAATTGCTTTGTCCCTGTTTTTGTCAGGTCGTGTTAACTAAGTACGAAATAAGCCTTAGAATTGTAAAGTAAGGTACATCATGATTGTGGGGTTTATAGCAGCATTCATATTGTACTTTAGAATATATATTCTTACCTTACACTGTAGAATATTGTAGTTAGGGATAAACGTTAAATAATTTTCTTCACAAAAAATTGTTCCAAATAAACTAGGAAAGATCCAGCAAACCCAAATGATAGGAGCTGAAGCATGTGACCCATGATGAGATGCTGAAGGAGCTCAACAGCTTCAGTCTGCTGAAGAGGAGGCTACAGGGCAATCTTAGCATTGCCTGAGTAAAACTTGTAGATGAGGTCGGCTACAAAATGGAGTGGAGCCATTGTTATTTAGAGGCTGTGGCATCTGTATTCTGAATTTTGCAGCTTGGTTCATACAATTGTCAAATATCCTGAGTTGTAAGGGACCCACAGGGATTGAGTCCAGCTCCTCAGGTGGCACAGGACACCACCAAGAATCATTCCACCTGCCCAAGAGGGTTGTCCAAATGCTCTTGAGTTTGCGGCTACACAAAACTGTCATTGATCTGAGCGAGTGTTGGCAGTAGTCCTGCTTTCTTTTCCCAAAAAAATTTTAAAATAGTTTATATCCAACCTGAATAGACAAAATGCAATTTGTTATTTGTTAATTTCTTAGCTCTGTAAATGGAAATTAATTGGGAGGTGACGCAAAATGAATCATACTAAGTATTTAAAGTGCATCCTTTGCCTAATAATTCTTCTGTGTCAGTGTTATAAACATTTGTCTATCTGGTCCTTGTGGGCAAAAAAGTCACATTGAGATAACTGTCTGATGATTTTTCTCTTTTAATTACTGTTAATGTAATTTTTGTATGTTTTTGAGAAACTTATAAAGCTGTATGCTTGATGGGAGTAACTTTATGGTGGTTTGTAGCTTCAGCAGACCTAAATTGGTTAGCACCAGCTGATTCAAGATCTTGGTTGTTGAGTTACATTTAGAATATAGAAACTTTCTTAGCTGCCTCCTGCTTCTGAACATTATCTTATGTAATGCTTTAAAACTAGACCATTAAGCAGGACCACATGGGGGAAAACATATATTTAAAAGATCCCTATGGATTTGTTTTGTTTAATGGAAACAGATGAAATCAGATTTTGGTGTATTTCAACAAAATCATTATAGCTTCCTAGGTAATGCTGGATTTAACTCCATGTTTTGATTTGATGAAATAGATTTTCTAACATTTTTCTTACACTTTTCGTAAACATTTATATTTTTCTTCATACTTGTGTGGGTGGATGGAATGATTATAACTGTTGAGGGCAAACCCACCAGTTTTCCTTGAAAGAGGGAGTTTTTCTACAAGGCGCTCCTAAAGCTCCTATAGCTGTAGTTTTTATGGTCTCAAATAGTCTTAGTATTCAGTTTGTATACTACAAACTGAATGAAAGTGGTCTAAAAATCCAAGTTCATTTAACCATTGTATAGATGTGGAGGATGAAAGTCTATTGTATTTATGCAGAAAAAAGTATCTTAATGATACATTGTGAAATTCTTTGTATATAATGAAGTTTTCTTGAAAGTGATTTGATTAAAAAATCTTGTCATTTACTCCAGTTATTCTCTTTGTAACTTATGAAATTAAATATATTTGGAAGGATGGAAATATTCTTCAGTGGATCTTCAATGGATCTATCAGTTTCCATTTATTTTTACCTTTTGATGGGAAGAGAGGCTGCTGGCTCTTACCTTAGTATAACATCTATTTTTATTGGATTCTATGAGACAAGTGGTCTAAAATGTGTAGTTAGAATATTACTGCATGATGTCTTAGTGTGACCTCTGTGACCTTTGCATAAATGTGTTTGTGCAGCATATTGAGAAACTTGGATTCACTTTTTGGTAAGTCAGATGAAGTGTTGACAGGTGTTTCTTTGTTTTTGTCAGTAGCATTTCAACTGGTTTACTTTAAAATGTGCTAAATGTTATAGTCTTTCTTAGTAGCAGTGTAATATGACAATGATAAATCTTAATCTTCACGGTTCTTTCTGAATTTTTTAAGGGCTAAGATGGATAGCACAGAGGAACCTCAGAAAAAAGTCTTTAAAGCACGAAAAACCATGAGAGTAAGTGATCGGCAACAACTTGAAGCTGTCTATAAGGTTAAAGAGGAGCTGTTGAAGACAACTGAAGTGAAACTGTTGAATGGAAAACATGAGAATGGTGACTCTGATATAAATTCCCTTTTAAGCAATACAGATAGTACAGAAGTCAAGAAAGAAATTAATGGTGTGGTTGACTTGTGTGTGAACTCTGAAGAAGGAAGAACAGCTTGTGATGAAATTAGTGAGACCAAAAGCCCTGAAAGTAGGGCAGGAAACATGGCCAATGACATAGAATCCAAACCTCTAGTGCTGTCTTCAGAAAATGTTACTCTTGAACAAGCTAAAGATACTGACATTGCAGTAAAATGTGAGGCTGAAAATGGAGTTGGTAGCAGTAAAGATAACTTCCATGAAGAAAATAATAAAAAAGATCATTTGGACCAAAGAAAGAATGATATGCCATTGGAAGGTGAAAGTAAACCAGTCTGTGATATTAGTGACTCTTCTGAAGAGAAGGGAGAAACAAATTATTTACCTGTTAATTCCAGTTCATCTGGTGATGAAAAGAGGACTGAAGAAGTAACTCCTGAAGAGGTTGTTGGAGAAGCAGCCATCTCTAGCAGTATGGAAGCTGACGAGGAAAAACAAGAAGGCAGTGCAGGACCTGCAGAAACCACTGTTTCAAAGACAGTAGATGAGCCAAGTGAAAGTATCTTGGACAATGCAGACTCTATGGAAACAGATGACATTATTCCAATTCTGGAAAAACTAGCCCCTGCTGAAGATGATCTGAGCTGTTTTTCTAAAAGTTCTCTGCTTCCAGTGGATGACACAGTCCCAGATTTAGAAGAGAAAATAGACAATTGTTTGGGTTCACCATCCAAGCAGGAAAGCAATGAAAGTCTGCCAAAAGAGGCTTTCTTAGTACTGTCTGATGAAGATGATCCCTGTGATGAGAAGGAGGAACTTGTTGAAGGGATATTGCCGAACAAGTCAAGTCTTCCAGGTAAGAGTTTTCTAAATCGTTCATTTCCATTCAAGTTTGGGATTTTGTTCATTTCTTAGAATGACACACTTGTGTCAGGTTTCTAAATCAAAGAGGCAATCTTACCCACCAATGATGTTATGGAGTCATAGTTTTTAAGGGTGGTATTTGAGGCACAGGAAAAAGACTTTGCACTGAAAAATGGTCATCTTCCAGATTTGGAAGATGACCATTTGATTTTGATTTTTTTTTTAATTTGTTTTGGATTTTGGTTTTAGGGTTTGTTGTTTTCTTGTTGGTTTGCTTTGGGTTTTTTTCATACTCTCTAAATTTGGGTGCCAACTTGGATGAGGTAGTGGGTAGAAAAAGAGGAAAGATGAGTAATTGTCAGAGAAGGAACAGAAGGATTTGGGAGAAGAGGAACTGCATTCATTTACTGCTTTCACAGGGAAGAAAGTATTTCAGCTTTCTTTAGCATGCAAATAAATGATAAGGAAAATATGCATATAATCCAGATGTGCCTCATCTTCTAACTTTTTTTTCCCCACTGAAAGACAATATTGGAAAAGTTGAATGAAAAATGCATGTCGTGTATTGTTTTTATATTATATAGCTTTTATTCATTTAACTCAGTGGTTTTATCTAAGTTTTCTTTGACTATGGCAACTGATTGATGCTTTTAGATGTTAAGTGTGGAATCTCTTCATGTAGTTAGCAGAACATTTTTTCTAAGTTAAACTCAATGGATGTCCTTTGTAGTATACTGTTTAATACAGTTTTGTAAGCTTTTTTCTTTTTGATAATGGACAGTCATTGTTGTACTATTGCACTTCTGAAAATAAAACAGATGAATAATTTACAAATAAGTTGACAGTGTTCTTTTATATGTAATTAAGAGAGATGTTTCAGATTATCTTGGAGATGGAATTATTTTGTTGGGTTTTTTTCATCGCCCTCTTCTCCCCAGCACCTTCCCCCGCACCTTGCCCCTATATAGCTTTTATTTATATGCTTATTTAGGCATTAGCTGTTGTCAATGAGATTGAAAAAGTGATACCATTGTTCTGCACTGAAAGTCTTCCAGAAACTATTGGAGGTGGGGGAAGTAGGGGGAAAGAAAGTTGTGTGTAGTTGTGTCAAAATCATAGTGTTACTAGTCCCTTTTATGAAATAAACAGTACAAATAAATTGGTTATCTTTGTTCTCACTGCAATTTGAGTTCTCTCATTGAAGCCATTAAGTTTACTTTTTTCATCTTACCCAATGAGAAAACACTCTGAGATCACAGAGGAATTTGCTATGGAGTAAAAAGACTGAAGTGAATATTAAATACTGTACTATAGTTTGCAGAAGCTTAAAATTAATGTATCCAGCAATAGATTTTTAAGATTCTAAATTCTGGTGACAAGACAAATTCTTTTGACTAGTTGTTTTATTTTTTGGCTAATAACAGCTTATGACTCTTACAGTTGTGTGGCTCTAAACTGAGACTGTTCATGAAATGAAAATTGGTCACTGCGATGTTCTGCCTTAACCAGCCACAAAGATAATAGCAGAGAGGTTGCATAGGCAGGAAACAGTTTTATGAGAAAACAGGTAGAGTTACCTTATAAAGAGTAACTTTTGGAAAGGGTCTGGGAAAGTTAAAACTGTGGAGACTGTATGGAGATCATTTCAAGAAGCTATATTGGAGAAACAGGTGCAAACCGCTCAGTTAAGAAACAAGATTTCAACAAGTCCAGATAAAAGCCAACATGGCTAAGCAACAATGAAAAAATGGTAGTAGAAGACTGTATTCAAATGTACAGATTAATGGAATGTCTTTCCCAAGTGGAATTAGTAACTATAATATCTAAGTTGTCACAGATTTTTTTAATGAAAGACCATACATCAGAAAGCCTTGGAGCTTTTTGTGTAAGCAAACAAGCATGTGACAAGGAAGCCCTGATGTAAATTATCTTGGATATCCCAACACAAATGATTGCTTATCAAGAAATTTTGGAAATGAAACAGTAAAATGGAAAGTCCTCGTGGAGGCAATAATCAGCTGAAGAATAAAAAATAAATTCAGAGTTCCAGGGACTAGTTCCTGAGACTGTGCTGTATGACAGAATTAATAAATAGCCTAAAATGAATGGTAACTAGTGATGTCACAGTTAGCTGATATGAAGAACTGGAGAAGAATTTTACAATGCTGATTGACTGAGAAACAAACGTGGCAGGTGAAATTCACAGTGGTTATCTACAAAGTGGTGCACATGAGTACAAAACTCATAACTTCATCAGAAGGTAGAACTGACTCACCACTCAATAAAAATGTTTCAGTATTATAGTAGGTGCTTTTGAGAAAACCTCGATAAAATGGCAGTTGAAGAAATCAAGTGAAAAATTATTTGAATCAACTAGGAAACAGGAAAACTTTACTATGATACACCAAGCTCATAGGAGGCCGACAAGGTTGCATTCATAGCTTCTGCTTGTCTAGCATCAAGATAATGAGATCACAGCTTAGCAGTGGAAACTAAGCTGATAGCCAGTTTTAAAATCTTCTCCTCAGCTAGAGAGTTCTGCTGTGCATCATGTTGAAACCACTTGTAGTTAAATGACAGTTTTGTTCATAGTAATGGAAGTTAGTAAGGAAAGGGCTTTCTCATCCCTGAAATTACTTGTCCTCTATAGAGAGGTTTTTGGGGCAAAAAAAATATATATATATATATATATATAAAGTTTTTTGAAAAATAAGACCTCAGCTTTGAAGCTTGTAACATGTTTTAAAGACATTCTAGGTATGTGTATCTTTCCACGAATATTTGTGTCTTTCAGCGGAATATTAAAATCTCTGAGTTGTGGGAAAAGTTGTCTTAAATTTAGCAATTCTCCTTTAGATTCATAGGTAAATGAGTCCTATTTTATTCATAGCAATCAAATACATGAAGTTTATCTATAATGCTTAAGAAGCAGTTGGCATAGGCATTATGCTAATTTATTACCTTAAAAGTAAATCGTATTTGGATTGAAGAATTTGTATTATGAATATTATTTTTACATTTATAAGAAAAATGAAAATCCCATAGAGCCAGGTTTTTGGGTTTTGACTCCTCCTTTTTCTGATTTATTGGGTAACTTGTTTTAAAGTCATTTAAATGTTCTTCATAATAGAGGGGAGACTTATGTTAAGAGAGCATCAAGCATACCTTTGCAACCAGAACTTTCCTTAGAAAAGCTGGTAAACTCTCCTGTAAATAACAAAATGAATACAGGAAAATGAAGTGTACAGATCAAGATGTGCATAAGAGTGCTTACTTGCTCTTATATTCTGGATAGATTTTACTGTAATCTTAAAAGCAATAGAAACACATAATGGAAGCTTGTTTCATTCACATTTGTACAAAACACATAATGGAAGCTCATGGTACATATAATAAAATTTTTCAGGAAGTGCTACCATTTTTATCTTTGTATGTTTGGTGGCTTCAGGTTTTTCTTCTTTTAAGCATTTCCTAAACTCAATATTTTTAAATGGTTACTCCTAAGTTGTGATACTTTGTATTAGCAAGAAACTTCAAATTAAAATTCATATTTGTTAACCTAAATCTAGGCCTTTCCTACCATTAAGATTATGGTTGCAGTTGCCAATTGTAAATAAAGAAACATATTAGTATTTTAGTATTTTGTTACTGAAATTTTTTTGCTTTGTCCCTAAGTGGGAAAATAAGCTGAAATAAATTGTTGAGAACTTCAGCTGCATTAAAAATATATCATTATGTTTCAGAAGTAACTGAAACATGTTTCAGTCATAATTGCAGTTCGGTAATTCTGGTTAAAATGTTAAGCAAATTCAAAAGTGAGTCTTAATGTGTTGCATGATAGTTCAGATTTTTGTTTTGAGGGTATTCCCTAATTTTTTCATATCTGCATTCCTTCTTTGTCATGATTATTTCTCTTGCCTTCCCTCACATGGTTTATTTTTCATATGTTTTTTACATTCATTAGTCAAAATAGGACTGTTACAAGACTTTTGTACATCTGAGAAAGTGTGGATTTTTTTCTTCTGTTTATAGAAGAGGTGGAGGGGGAGAGAAAAAAGGAATGTGAAGATAAGGAAGGAGAAGAGGCCCACAAAGAAGAGGAGATACAAATAGAGAAAAGTATGTAATGTTAAAACCATTGTGTTTCACTGTGTTGTATGTTTTAGAAGCACAAAATCATTAGGTTTGGAAGGGACTTGTGATGATTATCTAGTCCAATGCCCCTGTTAAAAACCAGGTCAATTAGAAAGCAGTTTGCCCAGAACTATGTCCTGACAGGTTTTGAGTATTTCTACAGGCTAAGATTCCACAAATTTCCCATGTTCTGATCCCAGTGTTTGACCACCCTTACAGTAAAAAAGTTTTTAAATGTTTGAGTGGAAGTTCTTGTATTTCAGTTTGCATCCATTTCTCTTGTCCTGTCACTGCTACTCACTAAGAGTCTTGCTCTGGTTATTCTCCACCTGTCTGGTAATTCACACACAATAAAATCTCCCCCAGTGGCCTTCTCCAGTTGAACAATTCCAGCTCTTGATGAATGCTCCTATCTCAAAAACATCTTGGTGGCTCTACACTGCACTCTCTCCGGTATGCTCACATATTTTTTTGTATTTAGAAACCCAGAACTGGACAAAAGACTCAAGCTTCAGGCTCACATTCCCTGGTTAGAGGGGAACCTCTAACCTCCCTCAGCCTGCTGTCAGTACTCATTCTCAGGCAGCCAAGAATGTTATTGGCCTTCTTTGTCAACAGGGCACATTGCTGGCCCGTGATCAACTTCATGTACATGGAGACCACCAGGGCCTTTTCTGAAAAGGGGTTTTCCAGCCAGTGAATTCCCAACCTGTACTAATTGCTATCCAAGTGTAGCGCTTGGGCATCTCCTTTTCTTAAACTTCATGAGATTCTTGCTTGCCCATTTCTCCAGTTTGTCAGTGTGACTGAATGGCAGCATAACTACTTAGGAGTGTACAAATCACTCCTTCCAGTTTTCTATCACCTGCAAGCAGCTGCAGATATCTTCTTACCCCATTTTCTAGGTCATGAATGACGATGGTGGTGTTGGTACCAGTGGCATCTGCTAGTGTGCATTACTGAGCTCCAGCTGGACTATGTGCCAATAATCATGGCTCCTGGAGCCCAATAGTTGAGCCAGTAAAATTATCTGGGCCATATATCAAGAATTTGAAGATGGTTTGGGTGTCAGAAGCATTATTAAAGATGCTCTCTTCTCATCCACCAAGCTAGGGGTCTCACTGTAGCAGGCTATCAGGCTGATGGTGCCTGATTTCCCCTTTGATAAATCCATTCATTTCCCCATCATCTCCTTCTTGATAGGCCTTGAGATGATTTCTATCTAGATTTACTTGTTCCATCATGTTCCCAGGGATTGAAGTAAAGCTGATAGTTCCCTGGGTCCTTGTTATGTAAATCTGAAGATTTTTTAAAAGCAGCTGTCCCTCTTTGTCCTCAAGAACCTTCTGGACACAGTGCCAGGAGCTGGAGGAGTGACTGAGGTCTCTTCGGTTCTTTTGTGCTTCATCATTGTAAAAGTCCTTTTTAATAACAATCTAGGTCTGTTTTGAGCCTGTTCTTTTGTTAGTTTTTTACTTTCCATCTTAACCAAGAAGTGGAAGAAAAAGTTTGAATGGTTTTTCAATCACGTGTTGGAGGTACGAGTTAAAACTTCATGGTGAGTAAATACAGTTAATTGCTGGCATAGTTAAATGAGATGTAATTTTATTTGGCTGGAATTCTGAGAAGAGGATTCCTGTTTCAGAAGAAGGTTTTCTTTTACTTCTCAGAAGCCATGTTTCATTACAGGATGGTGCTGATAGGAGCAGGATGAACTGGAGGGAGGCTCTGGAGAGAGGACTGGTGGTAGTAGAACCATTTTGCATTTGGGGCAGTGACTGGGTGAATCACAAAGCAGAACTCACTGACAGGGCAGTAATGTACAGATACCAGAAGGACTGGTTTTGTACTTTGATGTCATCAAGCATGTTCTTCCAAAGGCATTCCTACTGGTTTACCATGCAAAAGCTTAAACTGAGAACAACTTCATGGTAATTATGGCATTCTGAAGATACCTGTTTTTTCAGGAGTTCCTCATGAGCAGTTTTCTCTAATTGTTCCAGATGAAGCATCAAAGAGAAAGCGTTCCAAATCTGAGGACATGGACAATGTTCATTCTAAACATCGTCGGTACATGGGAGAAGATTATGAAGCAGAACTCCAAGTCAAAATTACAGCCAGAAAGGATGTTGACCTAAAATTACAAAAGGTAAAATAGAGGTGCAGAGCAAAGTACATAAAAACATGCCTGTCACTTGTGTTACATCTTTGAATTAGCAGTCCTTCTGCACGCACTCTGTGTCCTCCAACATTTTCTCTTTTTTGTGGTTGAACATTGGATGTTATTCAAATAACAAAGGTGCTTAATTCATATAAAGTTCTACATAGCCCTCCTTTTAAGAAGAGACCAAATACCATTTGAAGACTATGCTGCAGGAGTTATATTTGAAATGTATAAAATACTTGAAGTCTCATGTGACTCTAGATGTAAAATGTTAGTAAAGGTTGTATTTCACCATGATGAGTTATATGTGATGCACTTTATTCTGTGCCTAGCTTTTAAAACGAGGCAGTCTCCAAAGCAGAGTGTAATCCACCTGGCATTTTGCAGATTTTTTGTAGAGTTAATAGCCTGATTGCACTATTGCTGTATAAGGAACCTGTGGTCATGAAGAAAAGAAAATTGTGCTGTTCTTCTGTTAGTTCATTAGCTAGCATGTGTTGTAACTTCATTAATTTAGGATGGCAAAAACTGAACCACATTAGTGGCTTATTTAGTTTTATTTCCTATGAAAACTTTTTAGAGTGCAGTAGGTATAGATGGGAGAAGAACATTAAATAATAACTTCTGTCAAGTAAACTTTGTGAAAACCAGTCTTCTTACGTTTTTAGCTTCTGCAAGGAAGGCAACACTGAATTTTTGCTAGGAGAAAATATATCTCAGAAAAATTTTTTGTTGAATGTTTTAAGTTTCTGTTCTTTGAATGCCAATGTCCCTCTCAAAAATAGAAAAGTAAGAAGAACAACTAAGCACTGCACTTTAAAAGAATACCTTCTGTTGTTAAGGTTCTTTTTATATATAGTAAGATTTTATACCCTTCTTATACTGCAAGGAAATTAATTTGTTGAATTAATTGAAAACCATTTGTATTTTCCAAAATGATGTCAAAACTTAGCTGTGCAACCACATGCTTATTGCTGACTGTAGATTTATTTGATTGACAGGGTACAACAGTTGTCATTGTTCTGTTTATAGCAAGATATTTATTAAGAGTTGAGAATATTTTTATAGGTAGTCCCCCAAAGTCTGGGATTGCATTGTTGTATTTTTTATATAACAATTTTGCAGATTATCCAGAGACTGTTAGAAGAAAAACTTACCGCTTTACAGTGTGCGGTATTTGACAAGACTCTGGCAGACTTGAAAACCCGAATGGAGAAAGTAGAATGCAACAAGAGGCATAAAACTGTGCTTACTGAAATGCAGGTGAGTGTTTGTGTTCAGCTCCATACTAAGGTCAAATCCAAAAATAAGTTCCTCATGTTTAGTAGTAAGGTTCCTAGAGTTGCCGTAGGGAAACCATTGTGACTCTGCAAGGGGAGGAGGTGGTGGGGGGAGCAGCAAATACTAATGTTCCTTTTGAGTTGTGAAACTATTTTCCTGCTCAGAAGGAGGAAAGCAACCAGTTAATCATACAGAAACTCCAAAGGGTATCTTCCATGTGGCAAACCGATTCATTAGCTGTTAGTAGATTACTTTTCCACTCTTCTGTTCCATTTAGGCATTTTCAAAAAATTCCAAGTATGAAAATATCTAAGGTCTTTATGAAGCTGGAAAGTTGCTTAAAAATGGGAACATGCAGAAAGGAGAGGACAGTAGCGCTCTACTTGGAACATCCTACATCCCATGTTTCCCCAGAGTGCAAATAGTTGATATTCTAGCAAGGAGGCAAATAGCTAGTGTTGAATGCAGCATGCTTTCCTGCATTATTTATAGAAAATATGTGCATAGTGGTGACATGAAGAACATCACAAAAAAGAATTTTGAACTGACAGGACAATTAAAAGCTTATCTCATAACAAATTCAAGCAATAAGGCCATTTTACTTTTTTATGAAAAGAAACATGGAGTTTGCCAGATCACTTCCCACTATACAACTCTTGTTGCCACAGACAATTTATGTTGACTTCTTAAGTGCTTTCTAAGATGCTTTCAATATACTTGTTCACCAGTGTCTTTAGCCATCAGCTAAAGTGTCAAAGGAATAACATCATATAAGGCTTTCATGTATGTAGTTTTGTGTGAACATGCCAGATGGATTCAGTTTGTTGAGTTGTGAATAGGAAGGAAAATAATTAAACTTTTCTCTAAGATACCTTGACTGTGATGCACACATTTGTCTTTCTGCTATAATATAGTTGAAAATAACATAGTTGTACTGGATTTCAAGGAAGAATAATTTCCTTGATATGAAAATAGCATTTGGTTTAACTATGTCTTAGTTATATATCTTTTAGTTTATAAAATTTCTTTGATGGTTCTTGGGGATTTATGGTTTTGTTTGTTTTCGTCTTCTTCCTGTTTAGGCTAAAATTGCAAGATTGACAAAGCGTGTTGGAGCAGCCAAGGAGGACTTGAAGAAGAGACAGGAAGTAAGAACTAGATTTGTTGGGGTCTGGGTTTTTTTTCTGAGTTAGCCTAAACCTTGTGTTGGAAAACAAAGAAAATTTATATGCAGAAAGATGTGACTTGTTTATTATTATTATTGTTTATTTATGACTATTTATTATGATATTAACAATTGGGTTTGTCAGGTTTGGTTAAAGAAATCTTAACATCTGTTATGTAATTCTGAATTATACAGAAGCTTCTTTAGCTGTTTTTAGTGTGAAAACGCCTTAAGCTGTATATAACTGAATCAAATTTACTTCAGTATGAAGAGTACCATGTAAATAAAAGTGCATCCCACTACTGTGATTCTGAGAGATGAGAGGGGGAAGAAGACGGGATGTAGGAGAGGGAGGCAGTAGGACCAAGGAGATTTTGTGTAGTTGTAAAATATGTCAAATTCTCCTGCGGTGTTGACTTCAGAAAATGAATCACTCACACAGCAGTGAATGGATATATGAAATAGAATGAAAATATAAGTTTGCAAGCTGCCTTAGAGTTGTTCTGTTATGGCCTCTCTCTCTCTCATTCTGTGTAGAATGTGGCAAATGCACCTGTATCTCCAGGGAAAGCAGCACCCGACCCTGCAAATGTAAACAATGCCACGTATCGGTAAGCAAAGCACATCATGGGACCGTGTTAAAATGCACAACAGGACACTTCAGATACTCTCTGTACTTCCTTTTTTTAATTAAAGTGTTTTCTCCTTTTCCTTCATTGCTCTTCACTTGTAAAATTTGATTTGCTTTTACAGAAGTCTTAAATTAACAGAATTGAACCCATTCTTGGTTAAATCTAGACGGTATTTAGCATCAGTTTCAGTGTTTAAAAAATTACAGATAATAGTGGAAGTTTAATTTCAAGAACAGGAAAATTCTTATGGTGCAAGGACTTGAAAATTTATAAATAATTCCATACTTCTTTTTATTTGGGAAATAGCCAAAGTTAATTTGCCTGAGAAGCAAAAGTGAGTTTTGAAAAAATAAATCTCAAAGAAGAGAACAGCTGTAAAATTAGGGATTTTTTCACCATTGTACTGTTCATAAATATACGTTATGTGGCTTTTTGAGAAATGCTAACTCCAACTTTGTTCCTTAGAAATGCTGGCACAGTAAGGCAGATGCTGGAGTCAAAGAGGAATGTAGGAGAGAGCACACCAGCAACTTTTCAAGCCCCTGCAAATCCAGGTAAGAAACTCCCTATGGACTATAAGCACACTTCTTAAAAGTTCTGTTGCTTTCCATTAAAGAAGTAACTAACCAAACAGAGCAAAACTGATTTTACTCCTTTTTTCTGACCTAAAAAAATCATTATTTTTAGTTGTCTAGTACATTCCCTGTTTATATTTGTTTAGTATGCTTACCAGGTATGGAAAAAAAGGTGTTGATTTGGCCAAGCAGAACTTGTGGTAAATTAGATCCTTCAGTAGACTGCATGCTGGGTATGGCAGCAAAATTGGCTGTCAAAAACTGAGATGTGTCTCAGGCCCTTTTTTGTACTTGGTCATAATAGGATGCTGATGATACCCTTCTCTCTACTTAATGACTATAGAAATTGAATTGGAAACTAAACAGCAATTATAAAGCACATTTCTTAAAGGAGTCATGTTGAAAAATGGAATTTCTAGATTAAAATTTTATAGGGAATATAGACTCAAACTCACCATTAATTTACTCATTATAGTTTGCGGTCCTTGGTTGTAAAAATAGTTTAATATCGAATGCTGAATCTTTCCCACAGGATTATCTTACAGTTTGTATGTACTGGTTTTCAGTAGCGTGTTTTGCTCCTGATCTTTAGAATTAATCCTGAAATTTTGTGACATAAAAGTCAGTATCTTCTCTGACACATTAATACTTGGTTTTGGTAGAACCTTCTGGATACAAGGTTCTACCTATACAAGACAAGCTAGTCATAGCTGAAACAGTTTTTCTTGTGTTTTGTGAAGCACCAGTTGCTCTGCTATTTCTATAATGGGTGCTTAAAATGCTGTATTTTATGTTTTCAGCAGCTAAATGTTGGAGCTTTCTTCAAGCCTGTGTCATAATTCTTTATATATCTTTTTCCTGATATTTCTTATAAACAGAAAATCAGTATTGACTGTCTTTAACCAGGCCATTGAACATGAGAGTGTACAACAGAAAAATGTACCTATAGCCTTTATTTGCAAAAAGAAGTAATTATACACCACTTTTTTCATAGAATCATAGAAGTACTTGGGTTGGAAGGGACCTTTAAAGATCATCTAGTCCACCCTTCCCACCATAGGTCAGGCCATTTTTCACACCATCAAGTTGCTCAAAGCCCTGTCCAGCCTGACGCTGAGCACTTAAAATGCTAGGGCGTTCCCAGTCACTGTGGACAGCCAGTTCCAGTGACTCACTGCCCTCACCATAAATTGCTTCCATTTGTTGTGTTGCAGTGAAACTTCCCACTTGATTCAAATGCTTAATTTTTTTATTTATTTTTTATGTGTAGTGCCTGCTTCCAGTCTTGCTGCTTCTCCAGCAGTTGTCAGTGGACATCCTAAGCTTCAGACTCCAGTGTCCTCCACCAGCTCTTTGACAACAGCAGTGCTTCCCACAGCTAACACGGCTACAGTTGTAGGCACTAACACAGTGCCCACTGGCAGCACTCAGTCAGTGTCTGTCTCATTGCAGTCTTTGCCTGTAATCCTGCATGTACCTGTGGCAGTGTCATCCCAGACTCAGCTTCTGCAAGGCCACACAGGGACTTTGGTCTCTAACCAGCCCTCAGGCAACGTTGAATTCATATCTGTACAAAACTCGTCTACAGTTGGTAGCCTTACCAAAACGACAGTGTCTTTGGCATCAACTAACACAACTAAACCAAATAACATCCCACTTGTGCCCAGTCCTGGTATTCTAAGGAACTCTACAGCCAGTGCTGGGTCAGTAGGCACAACGTTGGCAGTACAGGCTGTTCCTACTTCACATCCTGTTGCCCAGACCACAAGGACTTCTTTGCCCACAGTGGGTACTCCAGGACTTTATAATGCGACTGCCAGTCGAGCGCCCCTACAGATGAAGCTTCCTCTCCCTGCATTTAATAGTACAGCTCCTACTGAACCACCCACCATTGCAGCACCCAAGACTGGTAAGTTATGCTTGAATGTTGGCACTGGCAGAGGAGGATACGGATCACAGGGAAACATAAAACTGCACTCTGTGGGAAATTGTTTCTTAATGTGTTTTATAGAGATAGTTCTTCTAGGTTGCATTTCTGTTGAAATTTTCAAGATCAAAATAATCTCTATGACAGATCTGTTTCAGACATTGTTGAAAGTAAACTTCTCTTGAAGTCAGCAGTGTGGCTTTGTAAGCTTTGTTTTATTTAGAGTTTGATTTATATAATTCCTAGAGTGAAGTAAGAAACTCCTGTCATTAAGAACTTGGTATTTAATTTTAACACAGCCTCTCAGAATAATATGAACTACCTTTCTAAGTAAAGGCATACTGAAAGAAAAGTATAATTGTAACTTAATTTTAACAACACTTAAAAGAAAACAAATTGGTAGAAAAAAGCAATTGAATATGAACCTAGTTCCAAAGGCATGCATTTACAGTATTTAAATAAAGGCTCTAAAGACAATAAATGTTCAAATAACAATAATTAGCTTAACTATTTTTAAATACTTTTTCTCAGTCTTTGGTCCTGCCCTGATGGTTGTCTGCACTTCTGATTTTACATACCTTAATTTTTGTTTATAATAGGTGGGATTTTGGATTTTTTTTTAATAGGTGGGATTTCAGGGTTTATAAGTGTTGGAGTTACAGCCTCATTGGCACAATATAAGCTAGAAGGATCTCAAGCAAAACTTGACATCAGAACTAGTTGCATTTCATTTTCCTGTATCTAAGTTACTTATGCTAAAATACGTGCTCTGTAGAGTTAGACATTTATGTTTTATATTGACTCCTAGCTCTAAAGCAAAAAGAAGTGATTTAAGACAACATAAAAAGGGTTGTGGCTGATGAGATACAGTGAAAAAAGGGAGGACCTATGTGTCCAAAGAATGTCTCATTTTATGCAGTTTCCATAGATTTACTCTGTACCCTAGTAGTTTTCTCACCAGAACTGAAATGCTGATTTAGGCCAGCACTGTTGCTGATGAGCTCTAATTAAAATGAGAAGGAATGAGAACTGAATTTGAATTTATATATTTGCATCAAATATTAAAGCAGCTTTTTAAATTGCTAGTTTAATGTTGGCTGAGCTACTAAAGATACTCAGTCTCCCTGCCTCAGTTATATATTTTGCAGTCTCTTTAAGCATCCTTTTTTCAGTCAGATCATTTTTTGTACAGAAATATTTAACAATTCTATTAATTTTTAGTTGAATAGCTTATCAATATGCATACAGGGGGAGGAGAGATTGGAGTTATACTTTGTGCTCAGGCAAGGAAATTGCTCATAAAATGTTTTTAATATACTGTCAAACTTACAAGGAAAGGAACACATCAAACAAACTTGAATACTTATAATGAAAACTGGGGCTAAATGTAAAATATGTCACATATTGAATGTTTAGTGTCAAACAGTTTTGAATATTGCCTTCAAATATGGCTAGTGGGTAGCAATAAGTAGTACTGAGTAGATACTGCAAATGAACAATTTTTTGACCCCTCAGAAAACCAGACAAGCAGGCCACCAACAGATACTTCGTCAAACAAGCGACCTGCTGAGGGAACAACACAGGTAGGCTGTTGATTGTTTCTGTATAAAATTCTAAAGTTACAATCCACAGGAGATTATTGATTATAATTGAACAATTTTAGTTTCTTTTGTGCCATCCTTTCTAGTTCCTCTCAGTTTATATTATTCTTCTTTTGATTCACTGTTACTTACAGCATGAGCTTCTGATAATTTTTTCAGAAGTGTTCTGATGGGATTTCTGTAGGTAGACGAGTTGGTAAATCAGGAGCAGACTAAAAGTTGTCTGCTAAAACAGAGCTAGCATACAAAGAAAAGACTGCCCAATCTTTGTCTGAATGGCTTGAACTTATATACAAATATTTTATAAATTATCGCACTGCTCTCATTCCTACACTAATCCAGAAGTTAAAATTGGAATTTTAATGTTTGATTGCCATATATCATGGGAGGAAAAAAAAGGAAAAGAAACCTTCTTCAGGAATAGCTACTTCATAAAGGATAGCTTACAATACTTCTGGATTTTTTGTCTAAAATTTCTTGGACTTGCTTTGAACTTTAAAGTTTGAAATTAAGCTATTTAAATTTCTTCATAAATAATTTTCTTTCTGTGTATAGATGTTTCAAAAAGCACCTCATACTTAACTCTTCCTATTAATTAGAAGTCATGTTATTAAGAGGAATAAAATTAATTTCTTCTAGACAGCATTTCCAAATTCATTAGTGTCTCAAGGTACAGTTAATCTAAATTGTATTTCAAAGCAAGAAGAAAATATACTGGACAATATTCTGGTTTTCACCTGCTGAAAGTAGTCTGGCAAAAGTAGTCAGTATTTTAGAGTATAAACTATGCCTCACTCTTATCTTTCAATTAAGATAAAGAAAGGTTGTTTGGAACTTCATTTTTCAAAGATACCTGTGGATTATAGCTATTCAAAACCCTTGTCAGTAATTGATACATAGGAAATCCTGTACCATAATGGATGACAGTAGTACAGTTTTAAGGTTTAATTTTCAGTATAAGATGCATATTTTGGAATTTTTCTTCAGTTAGAGCCTGAAACCTGGAAAAAATATGGAGAAACGGATTGTGTATGACAATGGTATTTAGCAGTGGAAGATGAGCTGGAAGGAGGGAAATAAGACATAGGATGTTTTCTGGTTTTCAGTCTTCTGTTGTGTAGTGTATGTTCCAGGTTTGCTTTCTGTGAAATCAGTTAAAGCTTGTGTAATGCCATGGTTAAAAAAGAAGAACCTAATGCATTTTAATTGGCTAGTGAGGTATGGAATTGACATGCCATTCATTTGAAAAACCCAGTTAATGCCACCTGCTTTTTGTTAGGTAAAATCCAAAATATTATGTATTACTCCACACTTCGCAGCTCTCAGATCATAAAGTAGTTCGCTGTGTGCCGTATACCTGTGGCATATTTGATGGTACAACTTTGATCAATTGTTTCGAAAAGCAGTTGAAACAGGAAGAGACTCCATCAGAAAATAAAGAAGCAGTAGAAGCAGCACAGACGAATTTTAACTTCCCTGAGGATGTTCTCTTTGGCTTGGAGGAAGAGGAAGAGGATGCTAAGAGCATCAAAAACACCCACAAGCAGACTGGCTGGGCAGCTAACCTATTAAAACAGTGGCTGGCCAAAAATGGCAAGGATCCTAGCTTTGAATTGGTCCCAGTAAGTGAACTCAATGATATCTTAAGAGAGTTTTATTACACAATAAGAAATCACGATGGAAATACCTACAGTGTGGCAAGCTACAAGTCAATGCGCGCTGGCTTAAACCGGCATCTCAAAATGCCCCCTTACAATCGTCAGATTTGCTTAATGAAGGACAAAGAGTTTGCCAGTGCAAACATGGTGTTTGTGAGCGTGCTGAAGATGCTGCGCATGCAGGGGAAGGATGAAACTCACCACCATCCTCCTATAGCTGCCGAGGACTTGCGTAAGATTAAGCAATCTGGTGTGCTGGGCTTGCACAGTCCCCTGGCACTCGTCAACAAGGTGTGGTTTGATTTGCAGTTGCATTTTGCCAAGCGAGGGAGGGAAATTCTGAGAGATCTGGCTCCAGATGCATTTGTGGTTGAGATGGACAAGAATGGGCGTCGATACGCTATGTTTAGATATCCTGGCAAAGGCAAAAATGGAGAAGATCCTCATAAAATGGGTAAAATGTATGATATGCCTGGGGACCCAAACTGTCCTGTATTTTCCTTGGAACTTTATTTGTCCAAGTTGCCTCCAGAGCCCCCTGCCTTTTACCTGCACCCTCTAAAGCTAACGTCAGAGCAAATGCAAGAACAGCCTGTGTGGTACAAAAGAGAACCAATGGGTGTGAACTACCTGGGTACCATGATGCCCAGGATAAGTGTGGCAGCCAGGCTCTCTCAGCGGTACACCAATCATTCTCTCCGAACTACCACCATCCAGCTACTCTGTGAAGCAGGACTGGGGCCTAGGGAAATAATGGCAGTGACAGGCCATCGCTCTGAGTCTGCTATTAGGCAGTACTGGGGATCTGCAGAGGTTCGCTACAGGGCCTGGTCAGATATAATGGAAAACAATGCCCCCAGTTATCGATACAGCAAGATCCCAAATGAAGCGAGAAAAGAATCAGTATCTGGTGCATCCACCTCCTCTGTAAAACATACTGTTCTAGAACAAAACAAAATTTTATTCCCTACAAAATCTGTGGTGCCACCTGGCACTAGCTCTGTGGCTTTAGTCCCTGAGGGACGCCCAGCTCTGAATTACAAAAGCCCAGTCCTGTTGAACCGCAGTTCATCCAAGGTGTTTCTTCCCAAGAGCGTGACCAGTGGGAACCTAACTGCTGGTCCCCTTCAAGGCTGTTGTAGCAAACCTGTCTTTATAAAGCGTGTGATAAAACAAGAACCTATGACTTGATGCTTCTGTAATAGAACTGATTCCAGATGAATTGCTAAAATGGAAAAATTATCAGATTTGGTTTTTTATTTGGTCTATGAAGGAAATTCCTTATGGTCTAATTCAGCAAGAGGTATCCTGTTCACACTCAAGATGTCAGTTATGGAGGAGAAATTTAAAGTGTGGAGGGCTTGGAGTTTGCATGACTTTTTGTGGCAGCTGGGACTCTTCCAAGTGGCTGAGCAGAGTTATTTAAAAAACATTAAAGGGAGAAATTGATTTCCACTTAGCTGAAGATATGCCTTCTTCACTAAGAGTGTGGCTTTTATATTTTGTGAAGAGTGTTATTTATCGTACTATTTTGTGACTGCTGGCACTAATGTAGCATCTTACAAATCAAATACTTGATTACTGAAGAGCACCAAGAAAGAAGCTGAATGAAATAGACACAGATGCACTACAAATATATACATACGCATGAAAACACCTGGAATTGCTTAACCACTGTCACCCTCTGTTCAAATTCTTATCAGACCTACCAGAGGACTGTGCCTTTGTTTCCTTTTTTTTTGAAAACTTCTAAATTGATTTTCTCTGTGAGCTGCAGATTTGCATTGCAGGTCTTTCCTATTTAATATTTTTGGCTTAAGATTTCAGTCATTCTGTTCTCTAAGGGCATTATTGATATGTGTAGTATTAAAATTGGGATCTCTTTGGTTGTGCATGAAATGGGGAAAACATTCTCAAAAGAGCTGAAAACAATTTCTTGCTTAAATGCCAGGTAATTAGTGTTTGTGTTGTCTCTGTGCCTAACTTGTGAGAGAGTTTTTTTATTTTTTTGTATTTCCTCTCACCAACCCCCTTCGTTACATGTCACATCATCTTTGCACTCTAGTCTTTGCCAGTATATATAATTCACAGGAAGGACATCTTGTTCTTCCTCACTGAACCCCGTCCAAATATTTTTGGTTTTAACGTCTTCAGGTCAGTAAACTGGTCCTGTCATTATCTTTTCTGTAGATTTTCACAGGTTAGAAATTCTCAGCATAGTGGAAAAGTTGCAGCTGAAAGGACAAATTGACCATGGTATACTCTTAATTCTGTGGAGAACTTCCTTGCTGGAATAGGCTTTCAAATTTTGAATGAGATTTATCACTCTGTTATAGTGTATAGTCAATATAGACACTGCTATAGTCTGTACAGAGGACTTGATGCCTGAATGTTGGAGTTTTTATCTTGGCTGATAATATTTACTTTTGTGACCTTGTTTCCATTATTCATACTTACTGCATCAATTTTCCAAATTGTAAACACAGTGCTCCATTTTCTAATGGATAGTGATAACAGTTAAAAGGTTTTAAAAGTTCTTTAGTGATTTTAAACTCATCTATGGTTGAGATAGTTGATCAGATGTAATTGTTAATACAGAAATTACTTCTACACAGTCCTGCTTCCTTAGTAGGAGTGTTAATTCATGACATAAATGACTAGAGGAAAGAAAGCATGGGTCATTTTGTCGAGCCTAAAGTAAATCAATTAGAGATGGTCAAGAAACCGATCCTTTCTAATGGCAAGAAGAAAAAGTGAAAAAACAAAGCGCAAACAGTTCTCAAAATATAGGAGAACTGTGCAGTAACTTCTTCTAGAATGTTTTAGGGTAACACAGATTGCGAAATTTTAGAGATTCATGGAATTAATAACTCGGCAAAACTGGCAAAATTAATCTCTAAATTGAATCTAAACTTCCACCAGGATGGGTGTGTATTACTGTCCTCTCCCAGAAAAATGTTACCATCTTTGTCTCAGGTAGTTGCTTCTTCCAGTATATTGGCACTGAACATTTATCCTCCAGGAACAAGAAAAGTATATTGCCAGATGATTCTGTGTTCCCTCTTGCTGCATACTCTGGTCATACTGACCACATACCCTGCTCTGGTTCTTACTGCATCTGGATAACTTAGTGCAACAGCAAATTGCTGATGGCTTCATTCTCCAACACAAATCTAGTTGGTGACTAAAATAGAAAAAGGGACTCTCTAGGCCAGTATTGGCATGTCTCTCATTCTTTTTGATTATCATTTGGCTTCTAACTTGACTTCCGTTCTATTGGCTTATAATTGGGTATTTTTGGATTCTCATTTGTTAAGTTCTAGTTCTGTTGGCACCAATGATACAGTGTCCTCTTACTACCTTCTGGGTTTTTGTATGGGAGATTTTTTTATTTTTTGTTTTTTAATAAGAAAGTATTCCTCATTTGGGCTGGAAGTATTATTGCTTCACAAGACCTGGCATCATTATTTACTAAGCTTTCTGGTAAACTTTGATTTCTAATTAGTAGAACATCTTTCTAACTTTCCAGAACTGAAAAAATCTTTCTCCTCTTTCCTCTCCCACCTAAAGTGTTAAATAAATCTTTCTTACATGTGTTTTATTTCTAGGAAAAATGAACCAAATGCATCTTCTATAGCTTTTGTGAAGTCAGTTTTGGCTGTGAGTACAGTGATACAGGGAGCAGGGAGTCAAGTTTCAAGTCAGTGCTGGTCATGGCAGTACAGGTTATGCTGTGTGAACATAATAAATTATATCAAAATGGACATTATTGTACTCCTCAGTTGCAGTATCAGCAGAGAACCTCAGAATAGCAGGGTAACAAGTTTTGGGTCTTTTTCCATTATTTTTCTGCTATAAGTGAACCTGTCAGGTTAAATATAGTTTGTTGTCTAAATTTAGATTTATACTTTGGCTGCAAATTTAATGCAAAATCACCAATCATCATTTAAAATTAATTTTAAAAATCCAAATATAAGAAATATTCTTTGAAAGAAGTTTGTCTTCTATGTTTCTTGAGTTTTCTAGTTAGATTTTCTCCTAAAATAAGATAGTCTCATTTCAGTTGCAAAAAAAATCCCTAAAAAGCAAAACCAACCAAAAACGCCCAACCAAAAAAATCCCAACAAATTAAAAAAACACCAAAAACCCAAACAACAACAAACCCCCAGTGCTTAGTCTAAGTCAACTAAATTAATCGTGACTGCTATGTTATTGATTAAATTCCATTTTCTTTGATGGAGATGACCCTGAAAACAATGAAGAATAACTGGTTCCTTATATAATGCTTCCATAAATTTAGTTTTGCATCTCATTGTCATAATTCCGCTTTGGTACTAGTGTTGTGAATACAGGACTTGTTTTCCTTGTGCTTTCCTGTTAAGTTTGGAAATCTCAGCTGTTACTTTAAGGGGTACTCGAATTACTTCTTGTTTATATGAATTTGGCATGGTATCTTAAAGTATGTTAAATTTTCTTTGCTTATATGCACCTTCTCTGTACCATGTGAAGTGCTCCACTGTGCAGTGTTGAATACCTGAAGGCATTGGAAGGATGCTTTGAAATGGAATTTGTTCTTGGGTTTGTTGTGGTTTTAGTCTAGTACCTCTGGTTATCCTGAACTGAACAGCTTCTCAATAGTTGCTAAAGTTTTCCATATACAGCTTGGATGTATGATTTTGCTGTGTGACTGTTTTCTTCTTTTCAGCCTTTCTCTCTGCTTCTTGCTCCAAAAGGAGTGGCTGCAGGGATGTGGAAGGGGACACCTTACTACTTGTATTAGTCTTTCATCTTCAGCTTTTTCCTGTGTACACAGAAGTTTAAGGGTTGTTATTTGGTCCCAGTCATTTTATCCGTGGCCATTCCAGTGCCTCGGGTCCTTGAGTTGCATTTCTGAAGACATGACAAGCATTTTTACTGCATTGGGACAAATGTTATTGTTATAGAGACAGAGGCATTTTTAATTA